TAAATTCAACCAGAATTCTTAAATTTGCATCTGGATTTTCCGTTGTCACGTATAATCGCAATAATCTAGCGGCCTTGGTGAGCCACCGAGAATGTACAATTTTCCCTGGTTTGATGTTAGCCAGATCCACCGGAACCACGCCGCTAGAAATTGCATGGGCCATGTCGTATAAGTACTTCGAATCGGTGGAAAATTCAATTTTTTCTGGAGCAGGGGGCATATTTTGCAACTCAATTTTCTGGAAGCCGTCCACCACCTGAAAATATATAATAATAAAATAATTAAAAATGGTTGACAATTATAATAAATGAGTGATAGCAATAACTTACCGGAAGAGTTTCACAAGTTTCGATTTGACGGCTCAGTTTTCCGGTTGCCGATCTTGGTCCAGTGCTGGTTGATTTATCCAAAGCTTCAAACAAATGCCGAAACGGAAGTTCGTTGAAGTGTAGAAGGCAAACGAACCAATGCAATGGTCTTTTTCACAGCAATTCGAATCGTCGTATAATTCCACCGTGTGGGCCAGTGTTTGTTGGCTCACCATCAGTGCATATTCCAATTAATGCATCCAGTGATATATTTTTATCGTTGAAAAAACCATTTAATTTGGTTGTTTTGTATTCAGCGGTTTCATGTTCCAGTCTTACGTAACCAATCAATTCAGAATTGGGTTCTCTCAAAATAACAAGATGAGGTTCTTTTACCATCCTAGTATGATACTTCTCATCAATTTTATCTATCGTTAAAGTATCATCTTTTCTGCCATCGAATGAAAACGCTAACAAATTGGTATCATCTAACCGTTTGCGAAGCACTTCTTGTCTGCATTTCTCTTTTTCTCTGCGAACTTTCGATTTATCCATGATGAGAGGTTTCCCATGCTTATCTTTAATTTTAAAATCTTGCAAAAGAACGGTTCCCAATGCTGATGCTACTCTGTCAGGCACACCAAATCTGTCACATACCAAGGCAAAGTTAAAACAATCGTATCTCTCTGTGTATTGTGAACTTGTGCTTCTATCCATATCTTCTTGAACCGGTGGCGGTGCGTATGTTGAATCATCGGGATCTTGGTATGTTGGCATTGATGACATAGACGTTGCTCCTTGCTCTTCAGTTTCCATCACAAATGCATCCATTGTTAGTCTTCTCTGATTATGTTGATCGTGCATGAACTCTTTGAGGCGTTCGGGAACCCAGCCGCATGCACATGGAGCTGCCTTCAAATCGCATTTACATGTTCCAATGTAAAAAATTGTTTCCAGAGATTTTACATACTCTGTAAATTGTTGGGTGTTGTTTCTTCTCTTGATTTGCTCTTGATACTTGTCAAGCAATTTATTCAATTTATTAAATACACTTTTTTTTCAGCATTATTTCCATACCAAGTTTTTCCCAAATTCCAATCAACTTATCTTGTACTTGAATAGTGAATGATTTATGGGAAAACTTTTTTTGTTCTGTTTTAGCACGTTCGCTTAAGTAAAAATAATATCTCAAGATATCCAGATGGGTTGGTAAATTAAGATCAGTTAAATCAGTAGACACACCAAAAACAGTAACATCATGCTTGGGTATATGACTCATTGGGTTTTCGATAGTTGTTGATGTAGTTTTTTCATCTTGCGGTGTAGAGGATGGTGGATTCATTGTAAACTTTTTGATTTGGAATGGTCACTTCACTTATTATTTTTTTTGAAATATTTTTTTATCTGAAATTAGCACTTCACACTTTGAGTTCTTCACAACGGCTTAATGCATTCACAAAAACTGTTGCGTTATATATGGTATACGAGACGAGGTAATAAGAATGAAATGGTAATTTCAATTCTACCTGCTGTGTCTTGTGGTGGCTTAAAAAAACCAACACAAGCAATTTTACGATCTGCAATTGTGTCACAGTGATACCTTCATTGTTTAAAAGGGTTGCGGTGCATTCCAGTGATACCTTAATTGTTAAAATGGTTGCAAAAAACGAGCATTTCTTAAGAAGGTGCCTTAAAATACCCACAAAAAGGGTTGTAAAAACAACCTTCATTTCTTAAGTAGGTGCTATAAAAAAAACTACACAAGTAAGTTTACGACATGCAGCTGTGTTTTAACACAAGCAATTTTCCGATTTGCAATTGTGTCACAGTGATACCTTCATTTTTTAAAACGGTTGAATAAAAAACCCACACAACTATGTTCACGACATGCAAATGCATCACAGTGATGCCTTGGTTTTAAAAGGGTTGTAAAAACGCTAATTTCTAATAATTTTTTTTAATTTCTTTTCTATTACTAAGTTAAATTCATTTTTTCATTTACATATGTTCTGACTAAATAAATTTCTAAAGAGAAAAATAAACTCCAAAAAGAAAAAACATAGGCATTTCGCTGATTTTTTCATGTAAAGGCCAAAAATGGTGATTTTTTGAAATGATTGTATGGGGAACTCCCCAGGGGAGTTCCAGGGGGTGTGCCACTGGCATCGGGCCTCCAAAGTTAGTGGGGGTCGGTCATACATTTGGACTCGATTGGAGCACTCTAAATGGGTCAAAGTGGGATTTTTCAAAATTTGCCCCTACCCAAAAGTTCGACCCAAATTGGGGGACATCAGAATTCGTTTTAGAGGTATGGTTCCTTCGGCAAAGTTTCTTATTTTGATCCCTAGAATATGATTTTCACAGAGCAATGGGCGATTTTTTTGCCTCCCCACAAATCGACCCGGCCTAATGAATATATATGCTTTACATATGCACATTTCTGACAGTTGTACTTTACATATGTGACCTGGTCTACGGAAAGGGGGCTTAGGTGTCAAAAAATCAATTTTCACTTTTTGGTTGATTCGGATGGAAGATGAGATGCTTTTTCACGTGGTGAAAAGCAGAAAATCCTAACTTGCTTAGAAGTGTACTAAAAATGTAGAGAAAGAAGAGTAAAAATACGACAAAATATAATTTATTGGTAATGAACAAAATACATTGAATTATAAGCTATAAAGACATGATTATACACTAGAAAAACGTATTATGGGCCAAAAATAATAATGCTGAGTAGTTTATGTATTTTTCTTTGTTGTCGTTTTCCTTGAGATCTTTTTACGTGTTGATCCTGAGGAAGATGGACCTGGTTCCTCGTCTGGTTTGAGAACATCTTCACTAGTTTTTGCCTTCCGTTTCTTCGATGGCAAATCTTTCGGCAATGGAGCCACAATATCTACTTTAGATATATCCGAAACTAAGCTGCGAAGATTGTGATAGATGTACCACTGACGTTCCAAAGATAAACCGGCTGGTTGTATAACTTTCGGCCTTTCAGGATCGATAAACAATTGTTCCGCGTACTCTCGATATCAGTGTATGGCATTCATAAATTTTGTTACCAGCTCCTCCTCTTTTACATCAACAACATACAGGTCCATCTTAACAAAAGTTTGTTCGGTATCATCTTCTGCCTGAGATACACATACTTCGTCTTCATCATCATCGCTCTCTTCATAGTTTTCATCATCGTTTTCATCATCCTTTTCATGGAAATATTGTCCGTATACGGCACTGAACTCCTCATCAACACTCATGTTTCATTTCATGCGAAATGCGAAGACGATAATCAACAGAAACAGTAAACGTCACTTCTTCAGTGTTACTTTTTTAAATGTTCCACACTAGCAACTTACACGATGAACTATAATAATATTCCGACCAACAACAACACTTACTGGACGTCCGGCGCGGAGAACAATTAACGAGATAATGAGAAACTGACGAAACGAGTTGCTTACTTTTAACAGCTTTTTCACAGAAAACTAGTTTTCGCACGTAAGCTCCCTTTTCGTAGACCAGGTCACATATGATAATTAAAAACATAACATAACATAACCACAAAAAATATGTTCACGTAAAATTATTTTCTTGCCTGTATGACGAAATTCATTCACACAACACATGTTGTGTTATTAGTAATTACAATAACAAAATATATGTACACACATGTGTATAACTCCCGCCAAAAAACGAATTATATTCTATTACATATAAAATCAAATTATGTACTTACCAATATTTATATATTAACACTGCAATTAATAACAAAAATTAATAATATTATAGAAATAAAGAAACGAGGATAATTAACAAAACGCACAACAAATTCACTTGCTTTGTAAGACCACGTAGACTCTTTTATCATATGTGCTTTGTGCAAATACAATATTGATCAGCTGTAGAAAAATCGTTCACAATCTATAACAGAGTGTGAAGTAAATAGATTAAAAAAATTAAATTATCTATTTATTTATGAAATAAGCAGAATAATTGAAATTAAATAAATAAAAATACAAAAATATTTGAAATAAATAAAAATGGTATCAAGTACTTGAAAGTAATTGAAAAAAGTACTTCAACTACTTTGTCAACTACTTTCAACTCCTTTCAATTACTTTTGAGAATTGATGGTAATTCCAAGTACTATTCAATTACAAGTACTTGTACTCGAGTAGAAATTGAATTTCAGCTGAAAAACGATTACTAATTCATTACAAATACTTTATGAAGTAATTGTATTGAGTAGGAATTGTACTCGGAATTTAACAGGTCTGGCGTCAACCAGAGATGTTTGTTAGCGAGAAGAGTCCACAGAAAGTCTGTAAATTAATGAAATCTTTATATGGCCTAAAACAAGCAGGACGTGACTGGAACATTAAAATTAACTCAATATTAAACAGAATGGGCTTTTGGCGATGTAAATCGGATAATTGCGTTTACATAAATCAAAATGGAAATGAGATAAACATAGTAGTTATTTATGTTGATGATATAATTTTGGC